TACTCAGCGCAAATTGATGGGATTGCTTTTGAGCTAGAGCCCTACACACTGTAAGTAACACCACTGATGGCAGGACCTTGTACTGAAGTCCCGCTCTGTGTTTGGGAAGGTCATGTTGCTGAAGAGAGGATGGAAGGCTCCCCTCTGAGAACGGGTTGAGCAAACTTGTAATATATTCCAACCCAATGTTTGCCACATACTACAGCTGACATGTCTTCTACTACTTGTAAATCCATCAGGAAAAGAATTTGGATGAGATTAATGTATTCACAAATTCATGTGGAAAAAATTCAACTAAAACTGAGGGCAATCCTTTTTACATATTGAAATGTTTAGTTCTGATATTTTTAATGATGAATTTAACTTTGGAAATACCAGTCTTTGAGAGGGGACAACTTCTTTTTTCACTTTTTTTCTTTCAGAATGGACTTTGTTGTTGTTTAAAAAAGTGATCTCAATTTCAATAGACTTCTATCACTACAGAGAAAAATAAACATTCCCATCATGTGTAACACTTGGGTTAACCCAAAATGTTCTGCTTTGCTTTGCTTTTTCAGTTTTGATAAGAAATCTGAAATACTTCTGTCTTTTTCTGACCTGGACTTACATTCTGTAACTTTTTGATGTGTCCAGTGAATCAAAAAAAGAAACATAATTCCACAATGCCTATTCTGTCTTCCTGATTTTAAGCATGGTATTTTACTTATGTGTGATGTTCTGACTAAAGTATTTATTTGAGTTTTGGCTTCCTAGCTATTCTGAAATAGCATGAGACAAATAAACAGCATATGGCTGTACCAAGCAGTGCCTTAGTGTACAGCGGGTGCTATTAAAATTAAGTTGGTGTAAAGATTCTGCTGGTGGGTTTATGCTGGCTCTACGGACACCCTCAAGCCTGCAATGAGGACAGAGGTGTTGCCCAAGCAGAACCCATAAGGAAGCTGTATGCACACAAGGACAGATAAAGCTTATGGACAAATAGGCTTTTCAAGTGCAAAATAATTGGGTTTGATCAGCAGAAAGTGAATCTTTACCACATCCCAATATACACACAGAGCAGCTAGTGTGGAAGCAGCTTGGATTCAGTTTTAACAATCTACTTACTGCTGGGCATGATTGAGCTGCTGTTACATTACAGCACGTGTCAGAGTGCAAGCCTGGCCCCACGGACACTGCTTCTCCACAGGGAAGGTGGAGAAGGGACTGCAGGGACTGTACTGTCAACAGTGGCATAGGGCACCCTGGGTACAGAGCAGTCCAGGGGGGACAGATTCACACAGCCAGGCAAGGATTTGCAAAACAGAGGGGGAACAAGAGCCAGGGGTCAGAAGATCTTAGGAGCCTGCTGAGGTCTGGTGTTTGGGGGGGGTCTTCCTGAGTGGTGTTTATTTTTGTGTGTGAGACTGGGAAAGGACTCTCCTCCCACCCAAAGTGGATAGCGAACCCTTCCATGGACATGGTCTGGGTTTGCTTTTAGAGACAGAAATGCTTTTAGCTTAAAAAGCTATATAGTCTTTCTTTAAATATGTGCCTGCCCTTCTGAGGGTCCAGCCCTTCTTCCATATAGACTGCTTGCTCTTTTTGGATGTCGTGCATTGGCCAAACACTGAAACACATTAGAAAGAATACAAATCAAGAGTAAACAGAAGAAAAAAGTGGATATAATCAAGTACATTTTGGACATAAAGCCAGCAGACATAAAGAGCTGAGTACGTAGAGGAGATTTCTCAGGAAAAAGCCTTCAAGCTACATCAGAAAAACAACAGCTGTCACTGTAGCCACATAGTTGTGTGCAACTGGGACCTGAACATAAAACAAAAGTTTGGGTCTTTGAGCAAAAAATCCAAATGTGAGAGCATGCAGCACTCTGTCCACTGCATGAGCAACCCCAAGGTATGTTTGAGTAGGACAAACATTCATGTTTCCCCAAAACACATTGAAATGCTCTTAGACTTGTCTCAGTTACAAGATATAATTCTGTGCCATGAGCACTCTTTCTGTAGCCACTGGCCTTGTGCCTTCACCTAGCTGGATATAAGGCTCCCCTACCCTCAGTCCATCCTGGCCCACCACAAGGGCTTACCCAGTTCATCTGGGCTGTGTTTGGACACAGTATACTTCCTTCCCTGGAAGATTTGCCTCCTGGTAAATACAGATTACGTCTGGACTGGGGAGCAGCCGTGGTGCTTGATGAGCCAGGAGGGCCAGGCTGGAGCACAGCGCAGCTCCCTTTGGGCTCTTGTGGAGATCAAGTTGTAGTGGGGGCTACTGCCTGGCCAAGTTTCACCCCAGCACAGAGCGCAGGATGTGAACCTGGGACTGAGGAGTTGCTCCTGCATCCTGGGCGGGAACACAAGAGTGACTGAACAGCCCTCCCAGAGTAATGGAAATTTTTTCCTGTTAATTTTTTCCTGTCAAAAATTAAGACATTTTTTCTTAAACCAAGGAGGGTATGAACCTCCCCAGGTCCACACAGACATCTGTTTTAGAGAAAGTCAGCCTGGCTGCTGATGGCACCACGAGATCTCTCCTTTCTTTAGGTATCCCCCAATTCCCTGTGTCTCAGTCTGGGTCCTTCTTCCACACTTTTTTCCCTGTCTTGAAGGAAGATTTATTTTCAAGACTTTCATATTTACAGCTCTCTTACCCCTCCTCGTCCCCCCTTCATGTCCCAGAGTCATTTTATAGATTGGCTAGAGAAGAGGCAAAACCCTCAAAGTGAGTGCTGGAGGCACTGTCCCTTAGTCACTCCCAAGTGCGAGCTAAGAGGGAGAGGGGGTTGAGCTGTGCTTTCCGCCTGCACTCCCACATGCCAGTGACCAGAGAGACCCCGGCAGCCTGGGCAGCCCCCAGGCTCAGCAAGGATCAGAGGGGTTCCAAACATGCCACGCATGGCCATCAGCACCAGCAGCCGCACAAGGTCTGGCCCTCCGAAGGGCTCAATGGCTGCAGTGCCGCATCTGCCCCAAGGAACAGTCTGATCATATTTTGTGGGTTTTGTATTTTCCTTTTTCCTACTTCATGTGGTTGTGTGAAGCAACGACAGCCAGAGCAGCTGGTCCCCCATCTCCTCCCTGTGCCACCCCTCTGAGACAAACCCATTGCATTTCCCCAGGCCAGCGCTGAGCCAGTGACAGAAACCCTGGGGACAAGGCAAGGGGGTCTCCCTGCCCAGAGGAGCCCACCAACAGAGAGTCTAAACTAAAACCTGTAGCTGACCTGCATCTTACAGTTGATTTTATTAAAGCAAAAAAGGGGTACAAGAGGAAAAAATGCTCTCAAGGTCTTCCTTCTTGCCCCCACCCTTCACCTGCGTATCACCGTCTTCCCCATCTCTGCTGTGGATGTCACTGAACACAAAGCCTGTGTCTCTGAGGCACCGTGGTTATGGCCCAGGTGGGAAAGGGTGGAGGTTATCTCAGCTGTGCACATGCATGAGTCTTACACAGGGTGAGGTCCTTTGCACTGAGTTAGAACAGCCCAAGGGCTGCTCTGGTTTACACACCCCAACGCTCATGAATTCACTAATGACAGCCCTGAGGAACTGAAGCTGCAGGTCAGGCTTGTACCATTAAAACCCTGTCCTCCAGCCTCCCATCCACTTCCCTGCTACATCATCAACAGCATGCAAAACAGATATAAGGGCACCTGTGCCATGTCTCTTGCTAAGCCTTGGTGCTGAGGGCAACTGCAAGTTCGCACAGGAAGAATTGGCTTCATTGGGATGGGAAACCACCCAGCCACCAGTGCAGACACCTTTAGCTGAGCCCCATCCCCTCAGTTGCCAACCATGACTCAGCCGGTCTAGTTTAGGTACCTGCTCTGGGGCAAGAAGAGTCTCATCCAAGAAGAGGCTACTTGTCTCTTTGCTACACTAGCTCCCCTGCAGATTTTCCTTTAGAGTTGACAGCAATTTGATTAGTAGACAGCAATGCATTTAACCAGAGAATATCAACAGTCTCCTTAATTCACTTACAGACATGCACGCCACCAACATACAGTCATTTTGCAGGACTGTATTGCAGTGTTCACTTCACAGATTTAGACTAGCTCTGCTGTTGTTGGTAGGAATTTTCCTTCATCTTAATGAATCAAATATGTCCCATAACTCAATTATTTTTAATTTATCCTAATACCACACAAACTTTTAATTTCCTAGTCAATTCAGTTTATGAATGGAAAGTATGCAGGCCACAACTTTTTACAGTGCTCTATAGAAAATGCTGCTTTCAGACACAACTATTACATGGTGATGTTCTAACAAAAAAGAAGTCAGGAAACCAATATAACAGTGTATTTGCCTGGGAGCACAGAGTACACAGCTCTGTGTGTTGCAACACAACCATCATGAATTGCAAGGATTTCATGCTTTTTAAACAGCATCCATGACATCTGGGAAATATTTCTGCAAGAATAAATAGACACACAATGTCCTGAAAGGTAAATGGCTCTTTGTTTTCCCAAAAGCTTTCCAAATCAGCCAGTACAAGTTGCTGAGTCCCTTTGGTGTAAACAAGGTGCTGCCATTTTCATGCTGTTTTGTTGGTACCCTCTACCCGCTCTGTAGAAGTACTACTGATGGGAGATGGTGGCCTTGTTTAAATCAGATTTATTGAGATGGACAAGGGCTAAGAGGACGGTAGCTGCCCCCAGTAGAAATACTTCATGTGACGTGTACTATGAGTCACACGGCTCACAGGCAGCTTATATTTGCCTTTCTGTACATATACACATACATACTCAGATGTCAATCTCAGATTATGGCCCAATTAAAAGTAGAGATTTTAATTTAAAAGTTTGAAATCAAATTTTAACTTAAAAAGGCTGCTTCTGCTCCAAGATTTTAAGGGATTTTGACCCCAGAAAAGAAATGCATGCTGCTTTCCCCCATTATGGCAATGAAACGGAATCACAAACATGACCACAAATACCCTGACCAAATGTTGCTGCAAAGCAAAAATGTAAAGACTTGGTCAAGTCTCCTGAAGGAAAATATTTACCTCAAATGTGCGCAGAACTTTAGCCAGTGCCCCAACTTCTTCTTTCAGAGAGAAAATCAAAGAAATCACACCATTTTTATTTGAGGACTCTTCAATGTACATAGATTCCTGAAATAAAAGAAAACAAACAAAAAAAGATTTACGTTCACCCTAGGTTTCAGCTTGGCTTGGCTCCATTTCCCTTTTGAATGACATCAGCAATGTAAAGAGGGTGTAAAGTTGCTTCAAGTGAGAATCAAGGTAACTGTTGCTGCCAGAAGTAGAGCAGCCCCTGCTCTGATTTATGACGGTAGAGACACAAATCCCTTCTCTCAAACTGGGGCCCATGTGAGATCGAGGTAGTCAAAAAGGACATGAAAATAGTCTAATATCATCTCTGCTTCCCTTCACCTCTCAAGTGTATCAAGCTCAGGGATGACTGGAAACGTTACTGCACTTTGGTTTCAGCTACAGTGCAAAGACCTTCCCTCAGGCTTTCTTTTCATTAACGCTCAGGATTAGGCACAGCAATGTAGACGAGCTCTGTGCAGAGAGATGCAGGCCATGATCTATGCTTGCACCTTCCAGGTAGCCCCAGGAGAGGTGCTAGTCACAAGAAGGATATGGAAGGTGGTTTAAAAACTAAATAACAACAATAAACAAAAAAGACAAAAATGTTGGAGAAAATTGTTTAGATCTTCCCTAAATCCCACAGTGAGTAAAGACCCAGTTAGGGCAAGATGTGTTTTCATTTATGCTTGTTCCCTTTCTCTTATTATTATTGGTTTTCTGCTCTGCAAATTCCAAAAAGCAATTTCCAGTATTCCCAAGCAAGGAGAAGGTTTATTTTAATTATTTTCATGGTTCTCATTACCAGAATGTCTTAGTATGTCTCAGTACATGTGTTTCTTTTCATAAAAGCCCTGTTAAGTAGGGAAGAGCTATTTCACCACTTCAGAAACAGGAAACTGAGTCCTGGAGTGGGACCAGACTTTCAAAATTATCTGGCTACCTAACATGGCAGGTAAGTGCCTGGTGAGATTTCCAGAATCACTTAATTTTTCTGATGTCAGAGTAAATTTGATGCACAACCATCACAAACTTTTGGAGGTCATTTTAATCATTATTAATTAAGGCCTAATAAGTTGGGGTTTTTAATAAAGCCTAAATAAGACCTTATTAGTTGGGGGTTTTTTAACATCTCTTGGCCTTGAGCAAATTGCCTCCGGTTGATAATTCAAAGATCACACCAGATATCTGCAACACAGATGGGTACTGATGTAACAAGTCCTGGGCCAAAACTTGACTCAAGGTATCCATTCAATTTTTCTTTATGAAGATCTGTATTTTCAGTCAGAGCCTGTCCTCATTATAGCTACTGCTTAATTTAACATATAAATCAGACTTATACTCTGAGTCTCAGTTCCCAAATATTGTCCTTAGAAAAGACAGTCTTTGTAGCAGACAAATTAATAATCAAATCCAGCTGCCCTGAAGCCATAAAATTCTTGGTGGGACTACATTCTCTGATGCAATGTTATAAGGAACTGCCTTCTTTTGTAAAGTAAATAATACCTGATTCTTCAAGCTGTCTCTGAGACTGCTGCTAACCTGAGAATCCATTGCCAGAGACTGGCAACAGATTTTTTTATCTGGCTTTCTTTCCAGAGGTCGCAAATGTTATCCGAATGTTTCCCACCTTCATGGGGAACCTCTAGTGGGAACTTTAGTACAAATACTGGTTTTATGCACCGGAGGGAAGCTTATCACCTCTTCAGCTGTGACACTTCCCACAGCACCTTGGTGTCTCCTGGCCCTCACCCACCTAAGGGAGCCAGCCCAGCTCTTACATGGTGGGGACCAAGAGGAAAAGCAGTCAGGAGTGATGTGGCAGTTGGATAATGAAACCCATTTACACCTCAAGCAACCACAAGAGAAAACAGTGACAGGATTCTGTCAAAAGGCAAACCAAATGTCAGTAGCCCAGAAATTTTATGATAGTGTAACCAAAACTGTCACCTGAAATACTGTCTATGTGTTGCTTTGCCCTTCTGTTTTTCCCCACCACAACCAAAACTAATCTTAAGGATGGAACTGTGCTACACCAGTGTCTGCCCGATGGACCTAGAATTTGGGTTTCATGGTCTGCACTGGAACTGTTTTAAAATTCATGAAGTTAGGTGTTTAAAATTCTCTTGCCAAGGCATGTCGTGACAACCAGCTTCTTGATTTAAATCTACATGACAAAGGAAGAATTTGTGGTTTGCAAACCTGCAGGGGATATAATGCAAGGTTCAAGTTCTGCAAGGTAATTCTGATGTTAATTGATCTCTTTATACCATGAGATTACCCAAAAATGCCTTAAAAACCTTCTTTCCAACCCAAATAATTTCTCATTGGTCACTAGCCTTGGTGTGTTGAGATCAGCCACTCTCAATCTGTCGTCACTCATTTTTCCACTCTTGTAAATTGATTTTATGTTGGTGCTTAAAAGTTAGGCGCATTGCAGCAGGGAGTAGGCAGTAATGCTGCAAACAGAGTGATATTTTCTTAACTTCTTGCACATCTGCCTACACACTCAGTTCACTGGAAGATCTTTGCACAAACATTAGTTCATACCTGGGTCTGTCCATAGAGATGACAGCTTTCATTGCAAGGGGAAAGAAGAGTAAAATTATCATTTTCCCAGTACCCAGTTCTTATCAATTTATATGAGGTATCAATATATATGGTGGCGATATGCATCAATATACACTGAAGAAAATATACATCAACATATATACTGGAGGTAACATACATTAACATACACACAAGCACTTATATTTATTGCTGAGCTTTTTGTGGTACCTATGCATAGTTTTAACTGTCAATCACAGTTTATCCATTCTCAATTCTAATTCTAATTCTTGTTTTTCAACATATAGGGAGGAATTGCAACTTTGGGGTAGTTCTACTGTTCTCTTACTACTGTGGTTATGATTAAGAGTTGAACAAATTGTTTCACTGTCATTGAAATATTGCTTATATGACCTGTATATGTGATTTGTAACTGTAGTGTGGAATAAATTAAGCTCTGATTTTCTTCCAGTTCCTTTTTATTTTTTCAGGAAGTGAACATGAACATCCATCCCTGGACCTAGTACAACCTCAAAGATAGGTGATGCGTAGATGCAAGGATGGGTTTACCTAAGTGCAAGCAAATCTGCATTTTTAGTTATCCACTTCACACATAGATTGATATTGCCTTTCTGACACTTGTGGCAGTGTTAGAGGCCACTAACACAGACCTGTCAGCCTTCTAATCCATTTCTGAGCTGGTTAGATAAAGCCCTTCAGAGTGAATTCCAGCACTGTTATGGCCAGAGGAAGTTTTTCTTGCAGTTTCAGTGCATGAAAAATTTCACCTCTGTGTCGTAAATTCCAGACTTACTAGATATACAAAAGGGGGGGGGGGGGGGGGAAAAAATAATTTAAAAGGAAAAAAGATTTCAAAATTA